CTGGCCCCTGCCCTGTGATCCCTCTCCAGAGCAGGGGGAGAAGCTCCCCAGGGGTGATTCACACTGGAGCCCAAGATGCCTCATCCCTGTGTCACTGAGATCAAAAGCTGAGACTGGGACAAGTGCTGGCCAGGAACCTCTACCTCGGTAGCGCGGGGCTGGCCAGAGGGATTGCCGGATGCTGCGTGGTTGGAAATGCAGCTCCCAATGACCTGAGAAGCTCACCCATGCCTGGGGACCCCCACCTCAGCCTGAGAATCCCAGCTGGCTCAAGATTCTCACCCCTGCCTGGGGCTCCCCACCCAGACTCTTTTAGTGCCGCTTCAGTCAGAGATGAAGGACAAAGTGATTCTCCCCACCCTGACCAAGACCACAACAAATTTTCACCATTGCAAGGCTTAAAGCAGCTGTAATTTCAGCCTCCCTCATACTGTTCCCCTCCATGTTTAAGCACCCACTGCACCCTAAACCAGGGATTTCTGGGGTCACTTTCAAAGATCCCAGACTTAGATGTGAGTTTTATGGTTCACCTTCTCCCTCCAAGACAAGGAAGTGGCTCAGCACCACATCCTGGAGGGAAAGGCACAGTGCCATGTGCCCCCCCTCTGACAATCCCCTGCACCTGGGGTCTCCTGCCCCTCCAACACACCCATGGGGAGATGCACCCTGATCTTCAAGCATCTTGGGTGCAGCTGGATGAAGGTCACCACGTCTTCCCAGCCTGCATGGGACAGGAGGACCAACCAAACACACCTCAAATCGGGAATTTGAGTGCAAAGAAACACAATGAGAAAAGACCCGAATCATCCCAGAGGAACCTGCTCCCTCCTCTATCTCCAAGCAGCAGGGAGCCCTGAAGCTCTCCCAGCCTTCCCCGAGGCTCGGGCTGTGCAGTGTTTTTCTGCCCTGCTCTTCCCTAGCAGACAGCTGTGGCCCAGGCAGCCACTGCTGCTCTGGCCTAATGGGCTCCGGCTGTCCCTGCCCCACCTGAAACCACACACAGCCTTTGTTTCGGCTCTGCCAGAGAGAACAGACACTTCCAGAACCCTCTGAAAACAGGAGGGGGGGAAGGCTCTGTGACTCTTCCCTGACCAGGCTTTCACCTTAGCTCCAGGGTCTTCCAGGCTGCAGACACGATCTCATTTCCCCCTGCCCCCTCCCAGCCCCGGCAATTACTACTTAAGCTGTTAAAACAAGCGTGGCCAGTCTGGTACGGAGTGGAAAATCTGATCCTAGGGAAGCAAGCAGGCAGGGGAAAAGGGAGGTCAAGGGGAGGTGGGCTGAGGGAAAAAGATCAGACAAGAAGTCTCCCTCCACCCCAGGAACAAACCCCCTGCTCCGAGGCTCCCAGTGCCTCCAGAAGTCACCTTGGTGACACTGCAGCATTCTCTCCATTTCAAAGTCCCACTTATCCCAGGCTGGCTTCCAGCTTGCTCCAGTCTGGGCAGGATGGGTGACTGCTCCCACAGCACTTGCTGCACCTCTGGGATCACCTGGACCCAAAGAAGAGATTTAAGGCTTCAGTTTTTCATGTTGCAAACATGTCCCCATGGAGCAAGGATTGGGGACAGCCCCAACAAGCTGCTGGGTGGCCTGCCTTCCTCCAGCCACCTACAGCACTGACCATGAAGATGAGTCTGTGTTTTCTGAGAGCTTCACTACCTGAAAACCAGCAGTTCTGTGAGAATCAAGAACAGATTTAGATTCTGCATCTACAGAGAAGGGCAAAAAGCCACCACAGCCAGGAATCCTGACTGTGAAGACTCCCCAGAAAATGGAATTCGTGCTATGTTGTAGATTACCTGGCAGTGGGAACACACACCTGCACCACAAGCAGCCTCAAATCCCCAGGTTTGGGCAAAATGACATTTTCCCTTCAACCTCTTCCCACCAGCCCACATGAAAATGGATACAACTTCTCCACCTTTCAACTGGTAGTTCAAAACAAACAAAAACTTTAATTTATACAAAACAAAACCACGTAGAATCAGTTGAACAACACTGACCATACAAAGGAATAAAAAAATAAAAGGACAGTCCAAATAAACCAACTCAGGAATGGTACAAGTGTTGGAGAGCAGCTACAGACTAGTGTTGACATCAGATGCAAGAATCCTTTCCTTTTAAATTAAAAAATAAAAGTTTGTTGCTGAGCAATCGCTCCAGGGAAATCTTCCACCCTCACTCCAGACAGGATCCGTGAGACTTTACAGGCTTACAGGTTTTGACAAAACCCAAACCAACCACAGGGAAACGGCATGGGGAGGTGGCACACGTGGCACAGCCAAACCAAGCAGAGGGACAGTGAGTTCTGAGCCATGCAGCAGCTCGGTGGTTTCAGGAAGGAGCCCTTCACCCCCTTCACCCCACGCGCCAGTGCCGGGAGCAGCCTGGCGCCGGCGCCCCGCAGCGCCCGCGTGGTGTTCTCCAGCAGGTTCGTGGTGCCCATCACCTGTTGGCCGTATATCCCCAGGCTGCTGAGCCAGCAATTGTCTTCTGCCGTGTGTTAAGTGATGGGAAACAGGTGGCAGACAGCCCAGACAGGTTCTCCAAATCCCCCGGCCTTCGCGCCAGGCCCGGAGAGCCCTTTGCTCTTGAGCCAAAGCACCACTACAAAGGATTCTTCTCCCACTCCACCTGCCTGGGGTTTAATTCTCTCCCTGCTCGCTTGAGCTGAGCGATAAAGCACGATAGAGCCGAGCCAAGAGCCCTGCCCCTGTGCTGTGTGCTGCAGAGCAGGAGGGGGAAGGCTCTGGCACCTCCCAGGTTGGCTGTGGAGAGGGGGAAGGTGATGTCTCTGTGGGGAACACGTCCCTGCTGCCACCCGAGCACGGCGCAGCCGCTGCAGCTTCATTCTGCCCACGCAATGCAACGGGCTGCTTGGCAAGGGGGAGTGGACTCAGGCCAGGCCTCGAGGAGCTGCTGATCCCAGAAAGAGGAAGGCAGCACTGTACAGTTCACTTCCTATCGCTCTACTCACCACCTACGCGTCACGGCCACCACGGAGAACCTGCCGCCACAGCTCGGTCCCGCTGCCAGGCCCCCCTGCTCTCAGGATAAGGGCTGGTGTTACTTCTCAGTTTCCAGGTGAATCTCCAGCACAGCTCAGCCACGGGACAAAGCCAGGGAAGCGGGTGTGCTTGACAGATCCATCCCTAACTCTTGCCCCTCCCAAAATCCCCGATCTATCCTATGGAACAGTTTGCTCTCCTGATCTCCTGGGGCTGCCCCAAGAGCTGAGCAATTTTGCCACTAAGGGCCCTGGGGGTTGCTGTGTCCTCACCCCAGCCTTTCACCTTCCCAGTCCCTGCTCCTTCACACTCCAGTGGGAAAAGCTGTTTCTGCCCTTTCCCACTTTCATCCAGGAGGAGTGGCAGCAGCATGAGCTCAGGCAGAGCATCTCTGGGAAAGCAGAGCTGGAAGCAGCCAGGATCCAGGGGCTGCCACATGGGGTGGTGCCACGGATGGTGAGCTCTGGAAGCGATGACCGAGGTTTCGCAGCAATAAGAGACAAAATTCAGCATTTTTCCTCTGCTTTAGGCACAATGCTTCCAATCCCAGCTCCCAAATCCACCATCACAAAGTAAGCAAGGCATCAGTCTGACCCCAGAGCTGCCTCTTCCTCCTGCCTGCCAAATACCCAACCCCCTGAGCCCCTGACCTGTCCGCTCTGCCCCTCCATCCACTGCCATCCCACCCTGCCTTCGGCACTCTCAAGTTTTAGGGAATGATTGGAATAAAGCAGCTTGGGGCATATTCCACATGAATCGTCCTTTCCTTCCCCATACTGAGAAACGCCAGCATGAGCCTGGGGGTGAGGGAAGGTCTCTTAAAGCATTTGTGTGTTTTCATAGGAAAATCCTCCACTTCTCCCCTTTGCTGACACTGGAAAAGTCAATCCAGTGCTTTATTTAAATGGCTGCATAAAATTTTCCCTGACTGCTTCTTAAAAAAACCC